AGCCGAACGGCAGGACGCTGAAAAACTGCAATGCCGAAAAGTTGAAATGCCAAACAATCAAAATGCCGAAAAGTCATAACGCCGAAAACTACAAAAGGCGAAAAACGAATGACGCGCTTTGTCATTTCCACTTTGTATGTTTTACACCAATGCACTTCCCATTGAATCGAGCATTTTCAGCTCGATCTACAAAGCCACCAGTATCAATGTAGATTAAACCGGTCTAAAATTTCGTATTTTGCTGCTGTCGTATAGCTATAGACATAGCAGTCGGACAGGAGAGCGCTTATTGGTCAGCAGACGAAAGCAAAGCAGCGCTACCCAGAGTACAAGAAAAGCAGCAATGTGCGGCTAGTGCGGCCGCAATCATTTCACTGATTCGGAGGGACATGGACGAAGACGTAATTATGCGTTCCCAGAAGAGAAAAGCGAAAGTTAGTAGCAAACACAGTTATGTTTACGTACTTGACAAGAGAGTCGGTTCTAGACGCGTGGTCGACCAGCTCCGTCTCAAGACGGAGCTGTACGACCACGCGTGGACCACAGGACACACCTTTGACTTCACAGCCGCGACGACCTTGGCGAAGAGGATAGGTGGGGCCCACGCAAACTACTTGAGTCATTGTTCATCCGCGGAGGTAAGACGGCGTGCAACAAGAACCGTGGCCCCCTCCCGGAAGCTTATATGGACCTTCCCGATAAATAAGACTGCGTTGACCGAAGCTCTCTCATTCCTGTGTATGTACTGATGATGCCTACCGCATGGGAGGCGAAACGTTTAATGAAGTTGTTTTTCTTGTTATGTGAAGTCGGTGTTTTTATTTTAATCACGGTTATCTTCAAGGCCACGTGTTCGCTCTAGTTTACTGCCTCATGACTTGATGAACCCAGATTTCATACATGGCACTTCGAAAGGTTGAACTTCGCCGCAGATCTTGGATTTGCACTAAATCCGAAAACCGTTAGTACAGACTTTGAATTGGCAGCGATCAACGGTATTTGGCCGTTGTTACTGTCGTCGGATGTGCATGGTTTTCTGTTCCACTTGTGCCAATCAGTATGGAGGAGAGTGCAGGACCAAGGAGTGTCAGTTTTCTACAGAAATTATGTGGATGGGTGTAGAAGGGATGAAAGCTGCATCATCTTGATGGCTTCGCCATCAAGGTGATGCAGCTTTCAACCCTTTCATTCTTGCCCGCCAGAGAAGTACGAGATGCCTATGCGGCCTTGAAACTATTCTTCCCGCAAGAAGCGTCTGTTCTTCTGCTGGGGGGGGGGGGGGGGGGGGGGGGGGGGGGGACAACTACCTGCTTGGGAAATTACGCTGCCGTGTTGACCGTGTCACCAAAGGTAACTCCAGAGTCCAGTGTTCTACTACGAGGTCCACCCTTATTCCCGCCATCCTTCTGGAATATGCTTGCCCTCGCTGACGACGGGTTTCCAAGACGCAATAGCTCCGTTGAATCATGGAACCCAAGATGGGAGACTTGGTTGGCGGACACCATGTAAGCGTATTCGGGGTCATCACCACCATGAAAATTGAGCAAGCTATAGGCGAAGACGACATCCAGGGAACGATCAAAAGACACCCCCGCCGTCCACGAAGCAAGAAGCAAAAGGTACGCAAAAATCATTCGGCAGCTGCTCTGGGCAACCGGGACAATGTCGACGTTCTAAGCTATCCTCGACGAATTGCGCACAACTTATCCGTCTGAAATACAAAAAAAGAATCGTACTGCTGTGCGACAACTTATTAAAAAAAAAAATTTTTTTTTGCTCTTTTTAAATTTGAATTATACGAAAGGAAGCTATATTCGGGGATAACGTTTCATGGCTATTAGAAAATAAGACGAAAACATGTGCACATTGGTGGGCGCAACCTCTTTGATCACATTGCCAAGAAAATTTATCCCCTGGTCCCGAGAAGTTCGCTTGGCGCCCCCTTACGGCGAACCGGGGTGACGTCACGACGAGGAGAGAATTTTTCCCCGACTCGCCCCGCTCGCCCTTGGAGGCTGTGACGACGCTAGCTGTCGGCGCGCTCGTTTCCATTTTTTTTTTTTTGCGTGTTTCTCGTAGGAAGAGTAAATTTTTATTTGTGCCTTTATTGAGGCATGGCCTGTAGCTACAGGCGAAACTTCAACCAACATTTTAAGCATGGCTGACAGGGCAGGCAACGCATGAATCACAGCTGGTATATGAAAATAAAGAAATATGGCCACTCTAGATTTACATCTTGCACAATCAATGCTGCTGATGGTCTGAATGAATTGGCAGGTTATGTGTACTATTCTTTTTATCTCTGTTTTTAAACATGATCGCCGAAGCAAAAAAACCTGCATGGTGCTCGAGCAACATGCTAAATACAGTTTGGGCCATGGGGAGAGAATCACAAGTAAGACAGCCTAAGTGCAGGGGCAAAGTAAAAAAACAACAACGAACATTTATCATATACATTGCTCGCATTCGACCTTTGCTGGATTGGGTTAGTAGTTCAATGAACTACACGGGTGGTATCTGTGGACTTGTTTATATTTGCCCTCAAGTAATGTATAACAAACGTAAGCGAAGGTGTCTAGCTCATTATTAGTCCCTTAAGCCCTAAAATTTAGATTTTAGTTAAATCGAATTGTCCTGAAGCTAAAGTACCGGAAGATTTTTTTTCACGCAGACTGTCGCCCTTCACAGGTTCCACATTTTCTGCTACTAGTGCTGCGTCTACCACTGGACAGACGTTCGAATGCTTGCTTTTACTCGTGTTTTTTCCCTGTTGTCAGAGAGTCCAGCTGTAGGGAGTTTGGAGGCTAAGGAAGCTTTTGGGGACCTGCAGCAGTGTCTCTTTTAATTGGAAATGACACTTCAGATTAAACGGTGTATTTTCTGAATACCCAAGGCTGGAATAAAGAATGTCAGGAAAAAGTATAAACATTCAAATTACGGCACTATTGATGTGCATATTTTGGGCAGTTCAATAAATATCATACAGGCAACTGGGGGCAATTCGACCGTTTTTGCTGCTACCATACAAACTAATTTCCAGTAATTGTGCATCTTGTAGGAAATATGCCCGCGTACGTGTATAAACTATATAATTAATTCATGAAGAACCTACATTTATGTAAAACAACCCCGTTCCACGAGCACTTCAAAGATAATCAGACACAGGGCGTTCAAAAGATCTGCGAACCAGGGCGTGCAGAGTGGCAGCGCAGAGTCGGGGACGCGAGCTAATTTGCCGACCACTCAAAGGCCCATCATATAAATGCCACTTCAAATGCTTTAAAAGCGGGACGTAATATCGTCCTAAATCATGAACATGCAAGGAACAGAATTCCAGCGTCTGAAACACTTGCGCCACCGCTTCACCGACCCCTCGCAAGATTGTCTTGTGTCGTGTGGACGGACGGAGAGGTTCATCGGCGGAATTGCATCCGCCGATAGCTTTCGGGATTTGTAACCCAATTTTAAAGGTAAAAGGGACAAGCAGGCTTATAAAATGTACGGAAGCACGTCAATATCGACCTAACTCAACGTCTTGTACACCGAGTAAACGAAGTCCAGCTCCTCGAAGAGCTTGCGGCATACCGCCAAACCAGGAAACTGGGGCTGGGAAGCGAGCCGATGCGAGATCGCGGAGCGGAGTCCTCCCCCCGACGTGACGGCACACTTCACCCAATCAGGGCGCGGCGACCGCAGCGACGCTTGTGTTCGCTCTCAGGGCTAATAGTCGGTTACAACTCAAGAAGGCAGGAGAAGCTCCTTCCACAAGCGTGATCCGCCCGTTTCAAATCCCTCCGCAGTCGAAGGAAGAGTTCACTGGAAACGCTCCTTGTTCCGCTTCAATGGATTCCAAGTTGTCTCCAAACCCCACTTTTTAAGAAAGCGACCTTTGCATTCATCGGAGGGGGAACCGAGCCCCTGAAAGCAGGCTTTGTAACCATCGGAGGGGGAACCTAATCCCCGAAAGTCGTATTTCTTTCCATCGGAGGGGGAAAAACTCTAATCTCCCTCTTGTGGCTTCAACAATGCTAAGTCAAAGTTGAAAGATGAAGCAAATATGTACAAAAAGGCAAGACGCTCCTTGCGCGTTGGCCGCGACGTCACGGAAATGATGGGACGCTATTGGATGCGGAAATGGCGGAGGGATATATGATTCCCTTTGAGGGGCATTTGCCGCTATCTTCTTGACCTGTAACTTACTATAGATGAACCAGCGTAATAGGTATAGTAAGATGAACCAGCATTTTGATGTATCGGCATTTTGATGTTCCGTCTTCTTTTTTTACTTATCGGCTATTTGCATTTTCACCATTTTGAATTTTCGGTGTTTTAAATTTCGGCATTTTAATAATTCGGCATTTTGATTTTCGCCGTTTTGAATGCCGAAAGTTCGGCATTCAAAACGCCGATGTTCGGTGTTCGGTGTCAATCTCCACCGAACATCGTTCGGTGGAGATTGTGCAGACACGATGACAGAAGTTTCTGCGGACACGCCTGTTCGGAACATGCTTGTTTCACACGTGCTTGGAAGTCTGCAGGCAGTTTTGGTATGAGCAATGTGACGTCATACAAGCTGTATCTTGTACGACGCGTGAGCAATGTTTCCTCGGTCTTTCTTAGTTTGCCGCCTCCCAGAATCGTGCGCGCTCGAGTATTCCGCGTATACGTGACTCACTCTCTCCTTGAAGATTTTCCATGGTGAAACGTTAAACTTTTTCGAGAGCCGGCGCGGCAGAGAGCGAGCGTTTATCTCAGATCTGTATCAGTCCGCTCACTTGAGCGCGGGGAAGGGCTCGCTCGCGTCGAATCCCTTTGTGGTCAGTAACATCGCGGGCTGAAATCAGTCGTCTGAGCGGTGACCCCGCCGTCATTTCGCCTTCCTGGTCGGAAACTGCCGAACGCGCTATCGCGCGATGTTTTCCCCTCCGTCGAGCTTTTGCGAAAGTAAGTGAAACCATATCGAACGCGCGCGCGCACACAGAGAATCTGGCACGTTTTCCGCTGACGTACGCGCAAATATTCAGGTGGACGCGGTGAGCGGCGCCGATAAAGACGGGCGCACGATAAGGACGTTTCGTGGATCGTACGCAAGAGCTTTGCGTCAGGCTCATATGCCGTCACTTTGAGCGTGGATTGAGCGCCCGCTCGAAAGGGCCCGTATAGTCTGGGGCTTATTATCCACGAAAAAGTTCCCAATAGACGGATCTCACCGGCCACTTTGAGTATACGCCATCGCAGTCGCCATGCATCGTGGGAACTGTATAGTCTTTCTGCATGCGCGACAACCCCTTTGGAGGACTGCGCGAGCAGAGCACGAGACGGCACGAGCTGTTTCGTGCATGGGTGCCTACCTCTTGTGAACTACAGTAATGGCGGCGTCACGCATGCGCGGAACGCTTGGTGAGATCGGCCTATACGGCCTGCAACTTCCTCTGCTCCTTGCGCTATTCGTTCGTTTTTTTCCCACCGATTTCAACCATAGCCTCCTCTATACTCACAAAGCCTGGCAGTTCCACGACGGAGCCATAGCTATAGTGCCTGGTCGCAGATTCGGAGCGCGAGGATGTGGTAGCACAGAGCATCAAAGATCCATTTCTCGGGGAACCTGGACGTCAGCGCATAGCTTTTGCAGCGGCGAGGAACCAAAACACACTTGTTCGCTCGCGAGAAGTGTGTTTCGGCGTCTCGCCGCAGCGGGGCGTCAGTCATGTGGCTCTCCTCTCATCCGTTGTCTGCCGCTCCACCTTTTCCATGTCGGCGGCCGCTTCTCGCGGCGATCTGCCAGGCTTTGTCAGTATACTGCATAGGAGGCTATGCTTCAACCAACGACTGCGCGCGCTTGGCTGCCTCATCATCGCGCGTTCCCTACGCGATCTCTATGTTGCCCTTTGATTGGAATGCTCCTCCCTGCGTTCCGGTGCGCGAAAGGCGCGTTCTGGAGCGCTTGCTCGCCGTATAGGGGGTATTCACCACAGCCGTGTATGCAGAGAGTTTGGTCAATGGGAGGCGCGGGCAGAGCCAGGGCGTGCACCAGACTCGGAAAGAGGGCTTGGCATGCTCTCTTGGCCAACCAGAAGCCGAAAAGAGTCGCCTAGCGGTGGTAACGAGAAACTGTTTTGGTCCGAGGTATATATTCATATGTGGTTTTAATAAGCGCGCAAGAGTGAAGTGTAGTAACTCTTTTTGGTTGAAAATGAGGTGCACGTAATGTTTCAATCAAGATCATGAAAAAAAAAAAGATGTAAGAAACGAACGCGCCGCTCAACTCTGTTTTGCTCGGATGGAGTGTGACCGCTCGGACGGCAGATTCCCGGCCCTCGGCGCTTGGCATACGAATTATGTCGATCGTTTTGCTAGTCACACTCTTCCACCATGATTTTGGATGACCATGATTGAAACATCACGTGCACCATATTTTCAGTGACCAAGAGTTACTCCGACGCACTTATTAAGTTTGTTTCTCGCGACCACCGCCAGGGCATTATTTCCGGCTTCTGGTTGGCCACATTCGAATTTGTGAAGACAGCCTACAACACGCCCAGCCCGTTTTCGGCCCCCATGGCGCCTCCTCATTTGTCTCCTATACTTCCCAATTAATGGCGAAACTCTCTACATATACGGCTCTGGTATTCACTAGCGGCCATAGCTGTGTGCGCGACTGCTGAGCGCGTGCGGTTGGCAAGCTTCCACACTTCTTTCGCAACGTGGATGCATTCTACACCATCAAGATCGCCGGTCTTGGCAGCCTTTTAATGTAAGCTCGTTCTGAGCATGCGCTCTAAACAGCGCCATCAAATATGGCGTCCAACGGTTAGGCGGCGCCAGCAGAGTGAGAGCCCGCGGTCCTAGCCTGTCCCGTTGCAAATGGGCAAATGGATAACGCTACGCCCTACACTGCCTTCCGGCGGCTTCGATATGCGCTAAGCATACGAGTGCAAAGCACACATATTGGAGCATGACGCAGCAAAAGCGCACTCCGGCGGTATAGACGCTTTCAGGCAGCTGTGCATGGGCGCCGCTATAGCCGACCTTCAGTTTTTGTTCCCTCTTATTCCGTTCGCTCCACTTCATCATTACCGCAGCAGGACATTTTTTTTTGGCGCTTTATATTCTGATAGTGTACAAGCTTCAATATTCCTACTTTTGTGTATTTCTCCCATAGACCTGCGTGTATTTCCACCTGGTGTCAAGCAATGGTCGCCGGTGGTGCCACCTACGGGATCCCTGTCCACGATCTGCAGCTTAGTACAATAGAGATGTCTGGTTCCGATACTGTAAGCCTAACTTGTTTAGTGGCTCTAGGGTGAGGGCATAACGGTGAAAGAGATCTGCAGAGTGTCCCGCCAAAAAATGTACAGGGTGTTTTTCACCGCAAAAATAAACTACGAATCGCCGAACGCTCATTCTCCGCCCAAACGTAGTGCTAGCTGTCGGAAACAGATGCCAAAGTTTCAGGATCAACCGTTATTTTATTCAACAGTTACAAGTGATTTTTTTTTTTTTAAATTTTAAACGGGCCTGATTTTCCAATCGAAACTTTCAGGAAATGACATAACTTTTGAATGGAATAACGGTTAGTTCTTACATTTTGGCATCTGGTTGGAACCGCTAGCGCTACGTTCGGGAAAAAAGGAAAAAAGAAGGTATCTAAAGCGGGCTTGATTTTTGAATTTGGGAACTCGAATTCTTACGAAGTGGTAATAGGGAGTTGATCGCTGTAAAGTAAAGAAAAGAAAGGAAGACTCACTATTTTGACGCCCCAGATGAGAAGGACGCAAGTTGTGACGTGCAGGAGACAGTAGATGCCCGGAAACAGGAACAGCAGGTAGTTGACTGAAAATTTCCAGGCACCGCAATTAAAAGCGTCAGGGTCCACGCAGCGTCGAAGTGTAAGAGCACCACGATGTATGCGTGTAAAGACGAGTCGCCGAGCTCCAAGTACCAACTCGGATAACACCATACCAAAGTCAGACAGAACCGAGTCGTATGCATGCCAGCGAACTAAATGCGCTTCTACGATAGGTCGTCCATATACATAAGACTGGGGTTAGGATTTTGTGAAGAACGCGCGTCGTAAAGTCTTCCTCACACTACTAATACGTTACACAAAAAACTGTCCGCAGTCATGTTCGAAGCATACATATATGCATTAAGTAAAAATAAACATGCTTAGAAGATGTCCGAAGGTAATGCTGTCATCATGCCTGCAGTCTTGTATGATAGTGTGACAGCTCAATTTGGTGTCCTAAACAAATTCCGAAAAACTAATAAAAATAGCATATTTAATAGCGTATGTAGTTACTTAAGCAATGAGAAACTTGGTGGAGGCTTTCTGGTTTTGCTTTGGCTGGTCTCGCTCACGAGACCCCGAGGTGTTTCTTGAAGGCAGAATGTTCGCGCCCGAGGTGGAGCTTTGGAACGTTTTTGACATTTATCTAACTATAAAATGTGTTAAGAAGAAAAGAAGAATACAAATGATTCACGGCATTTTTTTTTTGTATGATTTATACCGCGACCTCACACAACTACAACATAAAGATGTCTGGTTTAATATATGTATGGAACTAGCATATCGGTCTTGTGAAACCAGGCGCTCGTTGACAATTGTTTTGTTTGTCTTACCTTTGATCTCTCCTTGGTTCTCGGGTATGATGCGGCTGTCGCTTGAGGCGACAATGACCCTCATGAATGCGGCCAGAGATGTTGCAAATGCAAGCCCCTGGAAGAGTTCAAGCGGTACTTTTTATTCAGGTGGGACTGGAATATTACGTTTTGTGCGGAATATAGGGTGTCTGCAATGGATCTTAGCGCTGCGGAACGAGCCGGAAAAATCGGCTCCTGCTCCCAGTAGCTCGAACCTTCACCGAACATGCATTTAAGTGGCGAATTTTACCTGGTGAAATTTCAGGGCGTAGCTCGCTTCTTGAGAAAAATGAAATCAACGAATTTGCCGGGGTCAACGGCGGACGTGTTCGCAGACGATTAAGTTATAGCGATGGTTGTAACTTGTGGCGCCATTTTCCCGATAAGAGCAGCAAGCAGACGAAGCACTCTTTCGTCTGCTCGCCGCGCCTATCGGAGGGAGGAAAAGCTATATACGCCTTGAAATTTCGCCAGGTAAAATGCACCACCTAAATGAACAGTCGATGAAAGTTTGAAATGAACATTCGGTGAAAGCGCTGTAAAACGAGCCGAATTTTCCGGCTTGTTTTACCGCTGATATAGAAGGCGTTTTCTAAATAATTTTACAAACCGTTCTGCAAAAAAAAAAAAAAAAAAAAAAACACGTTTGAAAGTTACATTAATGCGGTTTGTGCAAGGTTGAGTTATTCGGCCAGGGGGCTGTCCAATCCAAATTGCAAAATGGCGTGCAAAAACTTCCGGGACCAGAACCCGTTATCTTTTTTTTAATGTCGGAGTTTGTTGCGGCTTGAAAGTATGCGGTTGTGTTTGGAGGACGCATTCGGTGCAGTACGACTGCTATCCTGGGATTTTTAACGTGTATCGGGCAGTAACGACACGCGACCGCACGTCTGTAAAATGCTCATGATAAAAACGTGCACGGGTGGGGATTGAGCCCAGGATCCCTAACGCACTCATCGACACCGCATTCACACTGGCGGTTGAACCGCGGGTTCGCAAAGAGGTTGGGAACGCGGTTGCTTAAAAAGGGAATGCGGAACGCAAGTTCACCTGCTTCTTTTGCAGGGGGTCGTGGATTTGTCAGAACGCTGAGCTTTGATTGACTCCGATTGAAGTATAGTGGGTACACCTCAAACTTCAAAGCAAGCTGCCTTGAGGTCTACCCACTATCCTTCCAATCAGAGCAAGTCATAGCTCGGCGTTGTGGAGGCACCACAACCCCCGCAAAAGAAGCAGACGAACTTGCGCTGATGATGAAAACGAGCGGATTCGCTTCGCGATTGCAAGTCGAACCTGACTGCGTGCAAACGCACTAGCACGTGAGGGAGGAAGAACATTGCCGCTTACCGCGGAGACGTAGCCGATGATGGTACAGGCGAGCTTAGGGCTGACCAGGCTACAGAACGGCTTCACGTACACGAACATGGTGTCGTCGCTCTCCTCGGGGCTCGCGCATCAGAAAGAATATACTCGTCGCCTCGTGTTTTTCAGCGTTAATATTCGGGTCGGATGGAGATAGCGCCGAGAGACGGCCTTCACTCGCGGACGATAAGCGCGGGCGCCATGCAAGGGAGAGAAGGGGGTGTATTGGGCGATTATCGAGAGGACGGCCAGGCAGCGACAGTGCATGCGCTCGATAGGAGGTCGTCGACTACTCAGGTTGAGGGGGGCACCTGCAAGACGCGTGCTTCACAATTGCCCGCGGCGTTGACGGTGGACAAGAATCGATTATTGTGCAAGCCGTGTGCGCAGAAATTGTATTCTGTGGCATCGTTTTTTTTTAACCATTTATTTATTGATAGACTTGGCATTGACACTGTGGAAAGTGCTTTGCCCAGTACTCTGTTGTTTTCTCGGCAAAATTGTCGGGGGAAAACGGTCGGTGCTCGTTCAAAAGGAAGGCAGGTACAGGATGCGTCTGATAGGACTGTCTCTCTGCTGCGCAGATGTGGTCGAGTGACAGTAGAGAGTTTTGGTATTGCGTATAGGAGTGAACGCAAGCGCTGTACGTTTGCGTTGCGCCAATCCAAAATCGCAGATTGGGTTCCGCGGGCGCGCAGTGTGGAACGTGTGAGGCTAACGCAAACGCAAAGTGCTTGCTTTCGCTCGTACTCGCGATACTAAAAATTCCCTATTCTCATAAACGTTAAAGAAACCCCGGTCTTAATTTTGTGTTCTAGTCGCTGTCAAAAAAAAAAGAGAGAAAAGAAAAGCGCAGGGCGTTGCGTGTTTTGAGCATTTATTATCGTTACTCCGCAGCCAATGGGGTTTCTGGCATGTGGGCAACCTGGCGATTCCAAGCGGTTGGCCCAGGCTGCCCCTCCGACAATCATAAGTGGTCATCTTGACCACGAGGGGGCCAAGGGCAACTGGCCACGCGAGCGGCGCTCCGCCGCTGATAAAAGGCCGTCGCAGCGGATGCGCGGAGGCTGTTGGGATCGCGGCGCAGGCGATAGCGCTCATTAAATGTTTACGTGTTGTTGAACCGGTGTGCTGTGTCATTCTCCGAGACGGGTAGCAGCAAGGGAAATCCCACAGGCATTAGCCGATAAGAGTGCCGAGGACCGAAGCAAGAATTCGCGTTTCTTAAGATATTTCCGTGACTATGCGGAGCGAAAGTTCGTCTGCTTCTTTCGCGTGGGTGGTGGTGACGCCACAACGCCGAGCTGTGACTGGCTCCGATTGGAAGGATAGTGGGTAGACGTCAAGGCAAGCTGCCTTGAGGTATGTACCCACTACCCTTCAATCACAGCCAATCAAAGCTCGGTGTTGTGATGTCAGCACAACTCATGAAAAAGAAGCAGACAAACTTGTGCTCCGCGTACCTTTAGAACACGCGGCGCCGCGATTTGCCGAATTCAGTCACGTGAGGAGCGGGCTCCAAATGCCGTGCGGGAAAGACGGCTCTACAGGGATAGACGCGCAACAACAAACGCGACTCAACTGAACCGGTATACGTGCAGCTGTGCAGTTCCCGGAGTGGCCGCTGCGGGAGAAATGGCGGCGTTGTGATCGCGTCTAGTTCGCTTCTCGAGTACGGATCGGAGCCACATTTTTCAAAGCAGGCTCTTATGGGAGTTTCCCAACTGACTTGTTCTAGTAACCTTGCCTCCTGTGGACTACAGTTTGGCGGCGTCGCGCATGCGCGAAACGCTTCGTGAGATCGGTCTATTGGCGAAATATTTACGGACAGGTTTATCACTTGGATTATTTATCACGCGATAGCGTGATAAATTATCCAATAATATGCTTAATCGAATATATCCCTCTTCTAAGCAGTGGCGATTGGAGAGTGCGTGAAGCTGACAACTGAACAGAATTGACGCTGATCGCGAACAAAGAAATTCCGCCACTGAAGTCTTTCGTCTCGGTCTTCAGCATTTATCTAAAAAAGATCTGATCTGTTTGCTTTTTATTTCGTCATTTTGTAACAAGGATATGTTACACCCGTGACTGATAGGGAGGGGCACTTGTACACACGATACATTTTCATTCCATGGAAGGATGATTGCTCTTATTCGCAGACAGACGACGTTCGCTCAAGAGCTCCTTTGGAGCGATGCCAGTTAAAAGCACTGAAAACTCGATGGCGGCTCGCCTGCATGTAGAAACTCAAACCGTGTCGCAAAGTCGGTTTGAGTCGCAAAAGGCTTAAAAACCGGTCTGGTCTTTCGGTCGTACTCGGTTGCGTATGTGTGAACGGCACTTAAAGTCCCGTTCACACCCTTCCAACCGAGCACGACCGAGACGGACGAGCCTCTTAAAATTTCTTAAAGAACACATTGGCACTCTGGCTCCACCTGTGCGGTGACCCTGGAACAGCATTTCACAAGAGCGAAGGTTTCGTAGTATTTTCGAGGTCAAATGGGCGTAATAACTATAAGAAAGGCTCGTTTATAACGTTGAAAAAAGTTTTTCGAGCCAAGAAAGAAAGGATAATGCGCGAGAGAAACAGAAAATATGCCGGACCGCCAAGTTTACACTGCTACCCAATAGAGGGCGTCAGTGTGTTTTCTCGTTATAAGAAGTATTAAGAGGTTCCAAGGCACCAGGTTTTCTAGAGGTCGCAAGAGTTTGAACGGGCCTTTATAGCTACGATGTAAAATATTAGTTTTAGTGCGTAGGTCTTAAGCGCCCGTTTCCGGCATGAGCGGCGTCGCCGTCGCCGTCGGCGTAACCGCGCGCGTTGCATTATGGGAATAATGCAAGCGGGCAGTGTAACCGCGCATTATATTACAAAAAAAGTTTCCCGCCTAATTAAACTTAGCGAAAAAATTTCCCTGCTAGCGAACAAATTCCCCGCTAAATTGAGCGAGCAGACTTTCCGCTAAGTTTAGCGGGAAAAGTTTCCCGCTAACTTTAGCGAAACATTTTTTCTTTCAACTTAGCGAAAAAATTTCCCGCTACATTTAGCGGAAAAATGTTTCCGCTATATCTAGCAGAAAAAATTACCCGCTAAATGTAGCGGGGAAATTTTCCCGCTAAATTTAGCAGATAATAGGGAGTTTTCGTAGACCGCGCTACCCCCTCCGCTAAGCGTTCCGCAACGAAGAAGTTGCTACTGCGCCTGCGCGCCGATAGCCTTGACTGTGGAGTTCCCGCTATCGTAGCGGATTGCGGAGGGCCTTGCGGGACGGCGAAAACGATCTACGAAAACTCCCTAATAGGGAGTTTTCGTAGATCGTTTTCGAGTCCCGCAAGGGAGTTTTCGATCTACGGGAGATCGAAAACTCCCTATTAGGGAGTTTTCGATCTACGAAAACTCCCTAATAGGGAGTTTTCGTAGATCGTTTTCGCCGTCCCGCAAGGCCCTCCGCAACCCGCTACGATAGCGGGAACTCCACAGTCAAGGCTATCGGCGCGCAGGCGCAGTAGCAACTTCTTCGTTGCGGAACGCTTAGCGGAGGGGGCCACGCGGTCTACGAAAACTCCCTAATGTCCCCCACTAAGTTTAGCGGGAAAATTTCCCCTCTAAATTTAGTGGAAAATTTCCCCGCTAAATTCTTCAGAAAGTTTCTCCGTTAAATTTAGTGGAAAAAGTTCCTGGCTAAATTTAGCAGAAAAAAATTCCTCACTAAATTTAGCGAAAAAAGTTTGAGCGGAAAAGTTTATCCTCTAAATTTAGCAGGCAATTTTGCGAAAATTTCGCGCCAAATGGGAGGGAAGCAGAAGGAGAGAAGGGGAGGGGGATGGAGGGGCATACCCCCCCTCCTCCTTGTCAAGAGCTGCGCTCTAATTTGGCATTACAGAGGATTGTAAACGTCTTCAAGCTTTTTTTCTCAAGAATAACCTCGAGCAGGTATCTTGAAATGTCGTGGCCATTTTACAGAGTTACCGTCAGCAAGTGGTGCATCTGGTAATACATTTCCGTTCAACCTAAATTTATGATTAAGGATACTTATGATAATGCAGTTAATGCAAAGGTGCAAGCGAGCTGGACAAGAATGACGATAATAATCCCATTCTCCAGGGATTTAGTTGGAATAAGTGGTTGAGCTTATAATGAAAAGTCTCTATTTCTAAACCTGCCGCACTCCTACAATCGCTTCATGTACTCAGTACGTGTCGCCTTCAGGGTATTAACTGATAAGTTAGAATTCTGAGATGTCCATCAAACTCGGTTCTTTCAAAATGCGACCAAGTCAGTGAAACCTGAAGAGGGTATATGGACGAGGACGTAGTGAGGAAACATTGAGAGCGCGAAATGTTGTACCACGTCTTCCACCCAGGCTTAATGCCATATGTGCACTGCAGCTAGGGATGTCGCGAACCGGTTGAGATCAAGTTCGGGCAGGTTCGACTTTTTGGACATTTTATTGGAAAGGTAAAGAAAGTGTGAGTAGGGTTCGACTGTTATGCGCATGCGCGACGGGCTGGCTCAGTTGGCTTTGGATTGTATGGTGATGACCAAATGATCAAGTCAATCATTCTACTTTTTTTAAGTGCAGCACTGTTTTTTTGTAACATAGTAAGAATTAATTATGTTATTAATTTTTAAGTTATTAGAATTATGTTCCGTTGATTTCAACTGTTTATAAAATAAATTTCTATTCCGAAAAAACATTTTCTCCAAACCTAGACATGCTTGTATCAAAGTCTAGCCACACTGTCCACAAAGTCGAACCTTGTAGAGCCTGGTTGAAAGGTCGAAGGTTCGTCGAACTAGTCGAACCTTGAGGTTCGTCGTAAGAATCCGACTCGACGAAAGTTGGCGACATCCCTAGCTGCAACATACCTGTAGAGGAGCTCCGCCTTCAAACCCCGGAGAAAAGTGGCGCTACCAAACAAACAAACACATTTTCTAGCGTGACAAAATCGGACAGCGAGAAACGTGCGCTTCTATAGCATCATGCATTTGCTTGGAAATAGCAATATGACACGGGCGCAACAGCACACAATAACGAAGACTAGGGAAAGGTAACGAAAAACACAGGACATATTTTTGCAGTTCCCTTGTATTGTTCGTTCGCCTCAGTCTTTTTTGATTTGCGCTATTGCATTTACATGATGTTTGACTTTCACTAACTAGCCCGGTTCTAAATTTTACT